TCTACGATGGCACAGGATTCTTGTTTGTAGTATGCAAAATCATCTACTCACAAATCATATCTGATCAGTTTCTGATAGTGCTCCAGTTTTCAAGCGCTTAGTAAACATTATCTGGAAGTGCAGGGTGTGTATGCTATAATATAACACGAGCCATTCTATACTTCTGCATTATATGTACACCAATTTCCCCCAATTAGTCAAGGGAAAATCAAATTTCCGTGGTAGAGGTTGTAACCTGTAAGGCTTTAAAGGTTCTCTGATGCCCCAGTAACGTTTATTAACATTTATTTACTTATACTGTGCATTGTTTTCTACCTGCGTGTATGCCTGCATGGCAGAAGAGGGCACAAGACTGCATTACAGATGATTATGGGGCACCATTTGGGTGATGACAATCTAACAAATGGAAGACCAGACATTGCTCTTAACCATTCAGCTAATGCTCTATCTGCACCAGCAACACCCGCCCCCCTTAGACAAACCCCTACGTCACACCCATGAGTTTCCATAGTTCTCTAACACTCTACATCAGCTGCAAACATGCTGCCCAGCTGGCTGATCCTCCTCACACATGACAGGTCTTCTCTTGCCAATGAGGATCAGCAACTGTCCTCCTGCTTCCTATAATGCACATTCTCCTTATCTGCTGCAACAGGGCCAGATTCACTACCTTCACATTTTCATTCCCAAACTGAAGCCTCCATGAGGCCCTTCCTGGGCACTGTGTTTCTCTGAAAAGAACATCGACCATGCAATTTCATTTCCTCAAAATTAGCCTTGGCATGCCTTCTCTTATCACTTATCGTTATGACAATGCTTCATATTGATTTATGAAGTATGTGACCACTGCATACCCTGTTACATAGAAATTTTCATGAGAATAAGATCTGTTCATCTGCTGGATCTGCTCTTGTCTGTGTCTGTAAGAGTTTTGGGTAGGGCAGAACAAAAGTTCTTATGGGACTATGGTAAAACAAATAAATGGAGAATCACTGGGATCTGCATGTGAATTCAGACTATTTTCTCTGTGTAGATTCCTGAATCTACAAATGCAGTTCCCACCAGGGCACGGACTTGCATTTTTTTTTCAGTGAGGCAGTGCGTGTTTGTCCCTCTGCAATTCCTCCCTCAGAGGAGAGGACCCAAGAATGGTGAGCTTGACCATGCTGTCTTCCAGGACCTCAGTCCTTCCCCACCGCAAGGACAGTCAGATGCTACAGGTAGCCTGGTCATGAGCAGGAACTCTGTTTATTGCAAAAAGCATGGACTTATGTAGGGTTGAGGTAAGGGTAGGACACTTTGGATGGGGTAAAGTGACATGAAGAGAAAGGGCCAATAATATTGCACGGAAGTAGAGAAATGCCAGGCAGCCTGTGGACTTAATCATGCATTGCTACCTAAACCCCAAGTGGAGCATACAGGACAAAGACAGTTTGCCAAACTTGGCTAATCTCAGGAAGTTCCACTAGTTCCAGGACACTGAATGGAGCCACCTTTGTCATCAGGCAGCTGTGAAAGAGCATGGAATGCCAGGTCCCCTCTATAGCAAGGAGACATGAAGCACAATCATCAAATGCCTATTTAGGACAAATATCTCCTCCTTTTGCTTTTATAAAAATTTCAGAAATCATGAAACCTGTCTTAGGTTTTTTCCCCATTGGGAATCTTACCCACCATTGGGTATCATGTGTCTAGCTAGTAGAGGATCCACTTCATGAACTGTCTAATCTTCCTCAGCTTATCTGGAATCTTACCCATAAGTGTTCAGGTGGAGGGTGGGGTAGGAATGCTTATGTGAGGATGGCTAATCATATGAGTAGTTTGGCCCTTGAGTAGTGAATCGATGCTAATGAACTTTGACCTAATGAAGTTTTACAGCATCTACCTTCTGGTGGGTGAATTGTATGATCAAATTAATCATACCGTGCAGGACAATGAGGATGAGGAGGAGGAGATGGTGGATAGGCAAAATAATTGCAGAAGGTAGGGTAGGAAGAATTGTAAATCAGTCCATAGCGGGTTGCTCGTTTGGTTTGTTTCCTTGTTGATATGAACCAAATTTCACTTTTACACTTCATCTCTGGGGATAGGACAGGACATTGGCCTAATAACAGGGCATGTGCACATCAATTCCTGTTCCTCTCCTGACTTGGGTTTAGCTGACCACTGACCAGTAGGTTAGTTTTAAAGTAGGCCTTACTCACTGTGATGAAATAAACAGGGGTGAGTGGGAAACTTTAATGGCCATGAAAGTAGGGTGTAACCTGATGGGGGGGACTCACAAAAGTTCGTTTCTCTTCCTCTCACCACGCTCCCAACCCTCTCCCAGGTTTGCGAAAAGAAGTGGTTACTAGCTGGGAATCAGGGTGCCAAAACTTTGATGGTATCACAGATTTTCATGACATTTGCATTTTTGAGCTAAGGACATCTTGACTGAAGCATGAGGTGGAGAGTCATATGGCATGGGTCATGCTTAGGTGAGCTTGCATTGTCCATATTAAGTGTCTCGCTCACCTAGAGAGATGGCTTAGTCTCCTTTGGATTTGCCCCATGTTGCAAACAAGTCGATTGCAGTGTGGTCCTTCCACAATGCTTCCTTCAGACTAGAGGAAGAAAGAAAGTTGAGCACACTGTCTACCTGTTCCCCAGGCCTTGCAAAAGGCAAGAACAATCAGATACTTCATGGTGCCTGCCTGATCATTGGCATCAATTCAGTTCATTACAGCAAGCAGGGACTTATATAGGATTGACATATTGAGTGGGAATCTTAGGAGGGTTGGGATGACCTGAATATGAAGAGCCAATAATATTCCACAAAGGTAGCAATTATCAAGGCATCCTACATTCTTACATCAGACCTTGATGACTCACTCATTCGTAGACATCACAGGCCAAAGACAGGTTGGCAAACTTTACCCAGGCTCAAGAATTTACTAAGCTCTTGCCCAGGTCTCTTTGGCCCAACACTGCAGGGCAACTGGAGGCATGGCCTAGGGAAACCTTTCCAAGTTTAAAACAATTCAAACCATTGCTCACACCATGATGCTTTTATACTTGATGAGACATGAGTCCTATCCCAAGGTGTGTATGTTATTGGAACAGAGCTAAAGTCTGCTTTGATTCATAACACAACAGGAATAGAAATATCAAAGGAAACATCGGAGTTAGCAGCAATGGTCCCTGGAGTGCCTGCTGATGTTGGCTGAGCAAAACCATATTATGTAGGAAGGAAAACTACAGCAGCTGTTGGGTTTAACTTCTCCTATGCCAATCTTGAGGCCTTCAGCATACAAGGTCATTGCTTGCTAGGCAGGGTTCATCAACGATATTTTACACCTTCTTTCAATGTGTAGTAAATTATAGAGTTCACAAGTGTGGCCATAGTAAAAGCTCAGGTGAAGTAACCAGAAACACTCTTTACTTTTTAGGCAGTAGCTAGAGAAGTAGGTCAAACACACACAGTGCTGCACTCAGAGGGATGTCAGAAGAAGGAAAATGACAAGAGAGGGCAGAAGAGGGGGGACACATGACTAAAGATTTGTGAGGCAGTTTCTCTTCCAACAAACAACAGCCATTCAACATGGCAGTGTACAGCCTAAGAAACCAATTAGGCAAAGCCACAACTCCCATCCTATTCAATCACCTGGTGTTTGAACCACACTGTCAAAAAAAAAAAAAATAGAAAAAAGAAAAACAAAAAAGACAAAGAAAATGATGCACATAATACATCTCCTTCAGAGTTGGCATTGAGGTTAGGAAGGCAAGGGGAGCTAGTCTGATTATTAGGGACCCAGAAGGTATGAGTTGCTACAGGCATTGCAGGGAATCTAACTGGAATCATAGGCCTAAAGAAGAGCAGATGTTCTTTGCCAGGACACTGAATGGAGCCACCTGTGTCATCAGGCAGCTGTGAAAGAGCATGGAATGCCAGGTCCCCTGTATAGCATGGAGACATGAGGAACAATCATCACATGCCTCCTGCACCATGGAATGCAAGGACTTCTAGCAAGAGGAATGATGGTGTGAGTCAACTGCCATTCCTGGATTCACCAAGGATCCATTTTACCAAAGGAAGTGTTTAACCTGTGCCCAGAGGTAGCCTGAAGCTCGTACTAGTTTGCTTAGGATTCAGATTGGGTCAAAAACTCTGAAACCAGTTCTGACCTTTAGGCAATTCGGTTCCACTGTTCCAGTGTTCCCATGGAAAGAGCCATTCATGACTGTCGAACACTTGTCCATTGTTTGCAAGGTAACCACTGCCAACACAGATAGCCACCCAGAAGAATGTGGATTACCCAGAAAGCCATTCTTCCTGGAATTGTTCCTTCTACATCTACATCCTACAAGTGCCTATATCTCCTATACTTGATTCCTGCTGGCCAATGAATTCCCAGAGCTTCTCTCCTCAGGGTTCTCCCTGCAGAGCAGTCCTGGAGTACCTTTATTGAGAACCTCATTTAGGCTGCTCTGTGTAGTCTTCTACCGAGTAGTTTCTGGTTTTGTGAGGAACAGAAGTGACCAGAAGGCTTCACTCTCTTTTCCCTCCCTCCATCATCACTTCTAAATCCATATTACTTCCTTTACTCTGTCTGTCCCATTATTGTGGCCTCTCTCTCATTCTGGCTACTTTCCCCTGTCCCTAGGCAGTCACATCCTTATGCCACTCTTCCTCAGACCATCTCCAGTCCCTTCTGTTTCTCCACACAACCTGACCAGCTAAGTCCCACTCCATTTTTAGATGATTGTCTTTGACACAAACTCACTTCTCTTACAGTTTGAATTGACAGCTGTTCCATCCTTTACCGCTCCACCAACCAAAACATGCCCAGTATTTCCTCACTGCAAAGAGCTCACACAGCATGCCTTACACACAGAAATGTGTCTTTGTCAGCACAAGCAATTGTTAAGCTCAATGTGATGTGCCAATGCACTTTTAGGCCTCTGTATATCTAGAAATCATAACTTTATTTCAACATTTGTGACATGACTTTACCAATCAATCAGATCTTTTTCACCATATCATAGACATAGATATGGAAATCATCTTCAAATTTGATGAAATATACAGATGATTTTGATTCAACTTGGTGAATCACCTTCCCAATTCTAGGAGACCCATTTTCTTTTTTGTATTCTATATTTTGGCCTATTAGCCCATCTGCAATTCCCAGATCTACATCTTTTGGAGGAGCCTCATCCAAGCATGGAATGATATTCAGGTTGCCTTCTTTATAATCATCCAGAAGCTTGTACACATACAAGATTGGATCTTTTTCATAGATAATGTAGAAAAAGGATGTTAAGACAGGTGCTTGGCCCAGGACTATCCCCCTCCATGGAGTCTTAAGGCCACACTCACCCTCAAAGAGGTGTGCTACCTCTTTTCCAGTGATATCATGTGCAAGCATGGGATCAGGGACTTCAGATGTTTCCTCGTTTTCAGAAAGAACTTTAAGTGATATTATCCTCTTTTCGTTGTGAAGTTCTAATCCATACACACAGTCGATGTTGTCATATTTCACCAGATAGAGAGATGGTGTTACAGCAATCTGCACTAGGACAGTAGCCTTCCAATGTGTGATGATTCCATTATCTTCCTTCCAGAAGTGGGAAATTCTGCGGCCCACTATGTTATTTTCGGTGGGGTAGGAAGATCTTCTCTTAGGCATGGCCCGTGAAGTGTTTTTCTGCATTGGACCAGCATATTTGGTGGCTTTATGGCCTTTCTCTCCCCTTTTAACGCGGATCCTGGGCTGCCCTTTGGCCTCCTGGGTCCTGGAAACATGGTAGGGAGTGCTGGTTCCTGGGTCCATGACTATTGAGGGGAATAAAGGAAGAAAGTGTTAATTAAGTAGACAAAGGCTAACTTCTCCTAGTTGGATGCCTTAGCACCAGGCGCTGGTCCTTAAGTGCCTCTAAGATGCCCAAGTACAACCCTGCCTGGGCACCTGCTGCTGTGCTCTGTGCTTCTATCTTTCCTGGTACCCTGCTATGGACTGGAAAGTGGCAGAGGGGAATTGGATAATAGGAAGTATTAGGAACTCTGAGTTACCAGAGCTGGTCACTTTTAAGCTGCAATTCTGCCAGGGCATAATCCTCATTATTATACTGCAGTTCCTTTATGATCCATTTTCTATATTGGCCATACATCTGATAGATGTTAGTTACATTCCATAGACTAATATATATGAAGCGTGTTGGATCTTTGGCATTATGGTGACCCTGTGCCTTGACAAAAAATGGACAGCAGAATTACACCTACGGTAATTATAACATCCATTGCAATTTAAGATGATATAATATCTGAAATCAACTTTTCCATATCTATGGCAAATAATTTTACAATGCAGGACTTTAGGTATTATTTTACTTCATATATAGAAGGAATTTTAGCAGAAGAAAATTGTGACTTGACCAATATGTACATTCATTTTGTAATAGCAGTGGGTTTCATCATTAACATGATATTCTTAAAGAAATGGTTTGAGATTACAGCAAACAATAAGGAACTTGTACAAACAATAGGAGATTTAGTAACAAGGATTCAGAACATTGAAAATGATAGAATGCAAAACATAGAATGCTTAGAAGAAAAGGTTCAGAATATTGAAGATGGTATTGGAGAGCTGACATGTAGAATACAACATGTGGAACATAAAAATGACCAAGTAGAAAACAGAATTTGTTCCATGTCTGATGCCTCAATAACCTAAAGAGAAACAATTAAATGCATTAACATGCTAGCAAAAGCAGGTCATTCCTGGTTGAAGGAAGGTACTAATAAGTTTAAAAACTGGAGCATCACATAGAAAGACTAGATGATAGAATCACTTCCATATCTAAGGATAATGGCAAACTATCAGATAGAACATTGTTTCTGGAAGGCAGTTTACATGCCCTTCAGAAAATATCTAAGGATGAGAATATTAAAAACATGGAACCATTTGTAGTTGGAGAAAGTAAGACTGTTGCAATCAAGGCTCTAGAAAGTTATTTTATTTTTTCAACAAGTTCAGACACTCAAAGAAACAATGGTGAATAAATTTCACCTTTAGAAGACCATCATTCTGATACATCAGAAAAAGAATTACAGTTATCAGGGCATGAAAAAACTTAAAAGGTTATACACCATTTAGGGTCAGGGGAGCTTTCCCTCTATCTATTAATGAAAAACCAGCAAAGAAAAAACACCGAAAAGGTGTCATTGCATATCAGTGGGAACCAATACGTATGAAATGTTTAAAAGGTATAAAGGAATCAGCAGTGGGAACCAATGCGTATAAAAGATTTAAAAGTTATAAAGGAAGCAGTAGTCTCGTGTGCCATTCACCATATGTGAAGCAATTAGTAGAATCATGGGCAGTGAATAACAAGGTAATGCCTAAGGATTTGGATCAAGCAATATCAGCTGTCCATGAAAGCTCCTCTCAAATAGAATGCAGGGATTTATGGAGAGAGGAAGAAAAAGCTCCTGAACTTCAGGGCTTAAAGAAAGGTTATAAAGCTCCCCAAGATAAAATTCTTGGTGAGGGTCTTTATGCTCACTCAGAAACCCAAGCTGCCTATGATGAACATACCTTGTCTCTATGCAGTACAGCAGCTTTGAATGCTTGGGATAAGGTTCATGAATTAGGAGAGAGGATAGAATCCTATCCCAAGATAAGGCAAGGACCTAGAGAACGCTTTAGTGTGCTTCTAGAAAGATTATCTAGGGCAGTACAATTAGAGGTTGCAGACATAGATCCTATGCGAATACTTATAGAAACTTTAGCTTATGAGAATGCGAATCCTCAATGCAAACATGTGCTTTGTCCTTTAAAAATTCGATCAGCACCCTTTGATGAATGGGTCCTATATACTGTCATCATTGATTGTTTTGGCATTAAGACAGAAGCATTGGTATGAGAAGCCATATCTAAAGGTCTGAGAAGACATCAAAATAACAGAGGTCTTAACTAAGTTCACATAAGAGAAGCAATCTCCAAAGGTTTGAAGAGATATCAACATGATAGATGTTATAACTGTGGTAAGATAGGACATCTAAAAAAAATTGTAGGCAAAGCTTCCCTAGAAAATACACTCCTAGGAATGAATCGAACAGAAGGCCTCAGCTTCCTCGCTTATGTAGAAGGTGTGGCAAAGGCAGACACTGGACAAATGAGTGTTGATCAACCACAGACATGCAAGGAAACACTTTACCATCGGGAAGCTCCTTGGGGGGGCCTCTTGAATGCCCCCACATCACAGGTGGTCCAAACATTCCCAGTCACAGTGGAAGACAATCTCACACAGGACAATTAGAAAATTCTGTGCCTATTATATAAACTCATACCATTCTGGAGGACAAACTAGCGATGGGAGTTGGATAAAACATGACAGAAGATAATAAAAAACGTATATTTTGTCAATCTTCTATAAATAGTCAAATGCCTAGAGTGATAGTTAAGATGAATAACAGACTGTTTGATGGGATACTTGACACGTGAGCGGCCGTAACTATCATAACTAATAAATCTTGTCCTCGAAGATGGCCCCTGAATAAGGTAAATGTTCAATGTTTAGGAAACTCTGACTCAGGTAAAACAGAGCACAAGATGGATTTAATGTATAGGACCAGAAGGACAGAGAGGAAGGATGAGACTACATGTGGCTGATGTAGTGATTAATTTATGGGGTCATGACCTATTACAGCAATGGAATACACATATTAGCATTACTCCAGTATTAGATAGGAACCATAAATGAGCTCATGATTGTGGAAAAATATTATAAAGTATTATACAAGACAGACACCAAATATCCAGGCTGTACAAAAACATTATACAACTGCTGAACAAACAGAGGAATCAAAAGCCCTACCTTTAAAATGGCTAACAGAGGAAACTGTATGGGTAGGACAATGGCCTATGATCTCTGAAAAGTTAGAAGCTTTAGAAAGCCTGGTTCGGGAACAGCTAAATGCTGGACATATCGAGGAATCAACTAGCCCTTGGAATTCTCCTGTATTTGTTATCATAAAGAAATCTGGGAAATGGAGAACACTTACAGACCTGAGAACCATCAATAAATTTATCCAGCCAATGGGCTCCCTACAACCTGGAATGTTCTTGCCTTCTTTGATACCCAAGGAATGGCCTATTATAGTTATTGATTTAAAGGATTGCTTCTTCACTATACATTTACAAGAAAACGATAAAGAGAAATTTGCCTTCACGGTACCTAATTACAATAATTCTAAACAGGTGAAGAGATATCAATGGAAGGTTTTGCCATAGGGAATTCTAAATAGTCCCACCCTGTGCCAATATTTTGTACAAAATCCGCTAGAAATAATTCATAAACACTTTCCACAATCCATATTCTATCATTACATGGATGATATATTGTTAGATGACTCTAAAGGTGATATATTAGAAAAAAATGTTTGAGAAAGTAAAGGAAGTTTTACCTCGCTGGGGATTACAAATTGCACCTTAAAAACTACAAAATGGAGAATCTAATATTTAGGATATGAAATAGGTGTACAGAAAAGTAGACGACAAAAAGTACAGATCACTACCAGAATCTTAATGTTCTTCAAAAATTACTAGGAGATATTTCTCAACTGCAAACCATTGTTGGAGTAGAAGGGCATGATTTGACAAACTTGAAATGGCCCTAAATGGATACAAGGACTTGAATAGTCCATGAATACTATCAGCTGAAGCTGAAGAGGAATCAGAATGGGTAGAAAAGGGGATACTAAAAGCACATGTGGACCTTGTGGATCCAAACCTAGACATTATTCTGGTTATATTAGAATCTGGAGAATATCTTTCAGGGATGTTTATGCAGAGAGAAGATACCATATTAGAATAGATATTCCTACCACATAAACAAAATAGAAAACTAAAAACACATGTAGAAATCTCTGACTTGATTATAAAAGGTAAATTAAGACATCGTCAACTAACAGGAAGGGACCCTGCAGAAATTATAGCACCATTAACTAATGAGGAAATTTCCTCCTTATGGAAAGATAATGAATATTGACAGAGAGCATGCAGTAAATTTTTGGGAATGATTAGCAACAATTATCCCAAAAGTGAGAGAATCAAATTCATAAAGAATACGATTTGGATCCTTCCATGCATTGTAAGAAAAACACTTATTTCTGAAGTTCCTACATTCTACACTCATGCAAAAAATTAGGTAAGGCAGGATAAAAATCAGGAAAAATTAGGGAAGTGGTTGAAAGCTCTTCCAATTCTGTCCAAAAGGCAGAATTGTATGTCATTCTCACGGTACTTAAGGATTTTACAGAACCCCTCAATATAGTTACTGACTCTCAATATGCAGAGAGTCTTCTTACACATTGAGACTGCAGATTTTATTCCTGAAAATACAGAATTAACTTCATTGTTTATACAGTTACAAGATTCTCTCAGAAAGAGGACACATCAGATCGCATATGGGTCTGCCAGGTCCTCTAGCACAAGGCAATGATGAAATTGATCGTTTATTGACAGGAAGTGTGCTAGAAGCCTCAGAATTTCATAGGAAACACCACGTGAACTGCAAAGGTTTAAAAAAGGATTTTTCTATAACATGGCAACAATCCAAGGGAATAGTAAGGGAATCTCCCACTGGCTCGTTCTACAACCAAATACTTTTACCACCATGATATGGCAAATGGAAGTGTTTCATTTTGCAGAATGTGGAAAATTAAAATGTGTACATCACACTATAAATACATTTTCAGGGTTTCATTGAGCCACTGCTCTGATCTCTGAAAAGGCTGATTCTGTTATCACACACCTATTGGAGGTAATGG